TTGAAAAAAAAAATTTTTTTTTAAATAAATAAATAAATAAAAGATGTCCCCAATTATTTTGACAGGTGTGTCTATTCACTACTCATCCATCCATACATTCAGCTAACACTTTCCAAGTCACTCCTATGTGTCAATCTAAGAGGATTCACGGACAAATTGAAGACCCCCAGATTCCAGGAGCTCCCAGTCTATGATGTCACACTTGAACTGCCAGAAGTCCTGTGATGTCACTGAGTTCACCACCACCCCCCCCCACACACACACCTGGTGTCAGGCAAGATCCCTTGTTATGCTACACCATCTCAGGTGTGCGGGGCCCATGACACAGGGATCCACGCTTGTCTGTTCTCTGCTGCAGCCTCAGGACCTGGAACAGGGCCTGACACATACTAGGTTCTCGATAAATATTGGTAGGATGAACAGGTCATGTGCACAAGGAGCTTCTTCCCAGGTCCCGCCCTCACGCGCCCTCCTGAACTCCAACTAGGCGAGGGGGACCAGTGAGAATGCAGAGGTAGCACTGAGGAGATCTATCAATCCCACTGGGCAGAGGCCAGCCAGGACCAGGAGACCTGGGCCCCAGCTATGTCCCAGACCCACTGTGTGACCTCTTACTAGTCACCTAAGGTCTACCCAGGGCGTCTGGGCCAAAGAAAAATGACCGAGCCAAGTGGACAAGGCCTCAGGGTCTGGCCTGCCTCTCCAGGAAGCGTGCATGGGCTCCTTAGCGCCCAGGCAGGGGCCTGGCACAGAAGAGGCCCCCTCTGTTTGCTGAATAAATGCTGAATGAGGAGTGTGGCTGAGATAGTCCTGCCCCATGCGGGTCCTAGGCTGCAGGCCACCACCCAGAGATGAGTCTCCAGGACAAAGTGCTGACGCAGGGACAAAGAGCAGGGCTGGCCACGCTCATCCCATTAGCAGACTCTGAGACACCATGCCGCCCAGGGGAACATGGGGCCCTGTCCCCCACCAACCCAGCCCTCACGTGGGCCCCCAAGCAGAGGTCGCTGCCAGACACAGTACCTGAATCACACTCTGGCAGCCTTCCACCGTGTCCGTCACCCCCAGCAGCACCCGGTGCCTCAGGAGGGCTCCGTTGGCAGCCGCCAGCCTAAGGTCCGTGTTGGTGTTGGCCTAGAAGACAAACGCCAGGCTCACGGTCAGATCTCCGGGCTGCCAGGGAGCTCTCAGGCCCTGAGCCACACCCACCTCTAGCAGCTGTCCCACCTCTAGATACCATGGGGGCAATCCTGGCATCGAGAAACATCCATTGCTCCCCCTATAAAATGGGGTTGTGGGGTTTGCAGCCAATAAGTTCAATAGTGTCAGACAGCTCTGGGTAGAAGCCCAGCCCTGCTACTTCCCAGCTGGGTGGCCCTGGACAAGTGACGCTCCTTCCCTGAGTCCTGCTTTCTTCAGTTGTAGAATACGGACAATGTCCCTGCCTCCTAGGAACATGGTGAGACTGAACTGGGACTGTGTGTGTGGAACACTTAATCCAGTGCCTGGGACACCATCCGCTGTGCTGACAGAGATATCTGCTGGCGGTGGGGTGGATGGGTTTGAGCGCTTATTGTGAAGAGTGCCTGGCCCTCGGAAGGGGACTCTGGGAATCCAGCTCCCTCTTTTCCTACCCAAGCCAATCTGGCGCCATGGATCGAGTTGACTAAGCAGATGTTAAGCAGCCCGGGGGAGGGGGGAGGAGGAGGAAGAAGCGTGTCAAGACCGAAGTGCTGGTTTGGAGAAGAGACTCTCTAAGGATTTAGAAAGGCAACCAGATGACAGCCAGGTGGAGGACAGTCAAGGTCCCCAGGAGTCTAAGGACTCCCTTAGAGAGCTTTTGGAAATGTGAGAAAGCCCTTTGGTTGTCACAGGGATGGTACAGGCAATGCTGGCACTTAGGGACAAGGACTGGGGATGCCTTCCACTGATGACAAAGTCCCATGAGAGGCAATCCCACAATCAGAAGAGGGGTCTCCCGGCCTAACCAAACTCCACATTCCCCACCAGATGTGAACACAGGTGAATAAGCTACTTGTAATTCTGACCGGCCAACCAGGTTCTATTTGACATGTAAACCTACGGTGTTGTTTTCTTTTTTGAAAGTTTACATTTATTTATTTTGAGAGAAAGAGAGCAAGTGGGGGAGGGGCAGAGAGAGAGGAAGAGAGAGAATCCCAAGCAGGCTCCATGCTGTCAGCACAGAGCTCAATGTGGGGCTCGAACTCACAAACCATTAGATCATGACCTGAGCCAAAATCAAGCGTCAGATGCTTAACCAACTGAGCCACCCATGCCCCTTACGTTGTTGTTGTTGTTTTTAAATGGGTCTAAAATATACTGAATTTTCTAGGAATGCTATGACTATGAAAACATGGGGTGATTATATTTTGTTTTGCCTAGAGTGTTAGTAAGGGTTATTCACCCTAACCTGTATCACCAAGAGTTCAAATCCTGGCTCTGTCTCTCAACCCCTGTACAACCTTGGGCAAACTACACCCCACTTCTCTGCCCCCACTTCCTCATCTCCAAAAGCGGAGATGGGGCGCCTGGTGGCTCAGTCAGTTAAGTGCCTGACTTCAGCTCAGGTCATGATCTCACAGTCTGTGAGTTCAAGCCCTGCATCAGGCTCTGTGCTGACAGCTCAGAGCCTGGAGCCTGCTTCGGACATGTGTCTCCCTCTCTCTCTCTGCCTCTCCTCTGCTCATGCTCTGTCTCTCTCTTGCTTGCTCTCAAAAATAAATAAACATTAAAAAAAATTGCCTAAGTGGAGAAAATCACACCTCCCTATAACAAGGGTTATAGTAAGGATGGAATGAGTCAACCCACATAGAACACTTGCAAGAACGAACGCTCCATGCCTGTCAACTAATGATATCAGTTTAGTGACAATACTGAGTTGCAAACTTTGTCTTCCCCTGTTCTTTGTTGGCCACAGATATTTTTCAGAACTTCCCACATGGTTTAGCAACCTGCTTTACTCCGCCCGGGATACCAGGCAGACTCTCGTGTGCCTTCACAAACCTCCCAGTCTTGAGAAAGGCTAATAATGCCCAAAACAAGGTGAAAACAAGGCAGTGTGTGCAAAATGCTAAGGCTCTCAAGGCTGCTATGGTACAAGGACACTAACAGGAAGAGGGACAGTGATGGTCGGGAAGGGGTAGGTGGGTGGTCCTGAGTGCTGAGGGATCCGAGGAGGAAGGAATCCTTGAGCTGAGGCAAGACCAGAGGAGCCTGTGTGACCACAGACTGGTTACTCTACCTCTCTGAGCTTTGGCTTCCCCACAGGCAAACAGAGGCAACGATCATAACAGTTCATACTTATTGAACATCTACATTATATTAGGTACTATTATAAGTACTTTGCATACATTAACTCATTTAATTCTCCCCAAAATCTTCTGAGGGAGCTACGGTTATTATTTTTTTAATGTAAGCTCTACGCCCAAAGTGGGGCTTGAAGTCACGACCCTGAGATCAAGAGTTGCATGTTCTACCAGCCGAGCCAGCCAGGTGCCCCAGGGGAGCTACAATTATTATCCCATTTTACAGATGAGAAACTAAGGCCATGAGAGGCAGAATAATAACTTAGCCCCGGTTGCAGAGCTAGCCAACGGCAGAGATATCCTGCCGCCTCATATGCTTGGCGGGTGTAGACAGCCGGTGCCAAACAAGGAGCACACAGGAGGCGCTCATTAAATGGTGGTCATTATTAGGAGTGAAGGAACCCCAAGGTTCCCTGACTGAACAAACACTGACGGCAGGGGGGCCACTGCATACCTGGGGCCCCCACGCTTTACCTCTGAGTAAAGACAGAGGATCTTATATAACCCTGTGCCCTGTGCCTAGCACACTGCTTGGTACTTGCAGGGGCTTCATAAACACTGAGCAAGGCAGGAAGGGAGAGAAGAAGGTGGACAGCCACTGTGGGCATTCTCTAAACTGCATGAATTGCATCTGCACCCTTGAAGCACCTGCCAGCTGCCAGGTGTTTCGCTGGCTCTTGCTAAAGCAAAATAGTCTACTTTCTCCCTGCCCCAAGAGAAGTTTCTTGCGGCAGGAGCAGCCAGTTCAATTTATTTTTTATATGCCAAGCACCAGAGCCATGAAAGCTTCAACAGAGCCCAAGGGCAGCATTATTTCGTCAGCCTTGTCGCAAAGCCCAACAAAGATCTTTTCAGAATGATTAAGCCATAAAGTTCCTATTTGTCCCTCTGAGCACAAGAACTAAATGGAATTCACACCCCAAACTCTGACCACATTTCCCAGCATCCCTCTCCTCCTGAGTCAAGCCAGAATGGATCTCCAAATCCAACTCTGTGCCAGGTACTGGGAGGAGCTTCTTAAAGCAGCTGGAAAGACAGTGGAGGTGTGGTAAGCAGAGTGATGGCCCCCAACGGTGCCAAAGTCCTACTCCCCAGAACCTGTGAATATATAAAAGCAAGGGGGAATTAAGGTAGTAGATAAAATTAACATTGCTAATTAGCTGATGTTAAAAAAGGGAGATTGTCCCAGATAATCCGGGCAGCTCAATGTAATCACAAGAGGCCTTAAAAGTAGAAGAAGGAGGGATGCCTGGGTGGCTCAGTCAGGTAAGCATCCAACTTCGGCTCAGGTCATGATCTCGGGGGTAATGAGTTCGAGCCCCGCATCGGGCTCTGTGCTGACAGCTCAGAGCCTGGAGCCTGCTTCAGATTCTGTGTCTCCCTCTCTCTGTGCCCCTCCTGCACTCATGCTCTGGCTCTCTCAAAAATAAAGAAACATTAGGGGCGCCTGGGTGGCGCAGTCGGTTAAGCGTCCGACTTCAGCCAGGTCACGATCTTGCGGTCCGTGAGTTCGAGCCCCGCGTCGGGCTCTGGGCTGATGGCTCAGAGCCTGGAGCCTGTTTCCGATTCTGTGTCTCCCTCTCTCTCTGCCCCTCGCCCGTTCATGCTCTGTCTCTCTCTGTCCCAAAAATAAATAAACGTTGAAAAAAAAAAAAATTTAAAAAAAAAAATAAATAAAGAAACATTTAAAAAACTAAAAAAATAAAAATAAATAAAGTGGAAGAAGGAGCCAAAAGAATCAAAGATAAGGGAAGGTCTAGACTTGCCATTTCTGGCTTGGAAGATGGGCAGAGGGGTTATTGGCCAAAGAATGCAGGTGGCCCCCAGGACCTCGAAAAAGCAGCAAACTTCATTATCCCCTAAAGGCTCCAGAAAGGATGCAGCCCTGAAGTCCAGAACCATAAGATAATACATTATGTTTTTTTAGCCACTGTGTTTATGGTAGTATGATAGGGAGCCGTAGAACACTAGTGCAGTAGGGTACTGACTGAGAACATGGCTTGGGATCTGAGCACTCTGGCCTTGAATCCCAACTCAGCCATTTACTAGTGTGAAAGGGCTCCGTAAACCCAAAACACCCTCCTCCCCTGTTCCAGACTCTCAAAACACAGCTTGCTTCCAGAAAAACAACCCACAGGGATTAGACAGGAAAGACAGAAAGGAATTAATCACACATGTGATTTCATTTCTTTCAGTCACTGGACTCATGGGCCCGCATGGTTGCAGAAATCCTTTGAGGCAGGGAAAAGAGAAAGATCAGACCTGGGCTTGTCCTACCAGAAACACCCTTTCTGGAGGGAGCGTGGCTGGGGTCTCCGAACATCTCACCTTCCTCTGGTGTCTCTCGAAGATGAGCACGAGGGTCAGAGTCAGGCTCATGGCAGCCAGGGTCACGAGCAGCACACCTACCCAGTGGTTCCCCAGGGCAAACATCTGGCTGGTGGAGTAGATGTTAGCCCACACCACCACATAGAACACCTGCGAGAAGCCAGAGAAAGAGCGTGGTCAGGAATACCAGTCCTGGAATAAAGCAGCTCCATTCAAAGGGACACACTCTTTTGGACATGTCTGACGCCCTCCTTGGAGTCAAAGAGCTCACAGGGCCAGTTAGGGACTGATCAGGGTCTGTAGGAAGGAGCCCTTGTTCCCTGTCCATAAGCAACAGTAGAGAAAAGGGGTTAGGAATGGCTACTCTGGGGGCACCTGGGTAGCTCAGTCAGCTAAGCATCAGAGTCTTGATTTCACCTCAGTTCATGATCTCATGGTTCATGAGTTTAAGCTCCACAGTGTGGAGCCTGCTTGGGATTCTGTCTCCCTCTCTCTCTGTCCCTCCCATGCTTTCTCTCTATCTCTCTTCAAAATAAATAAAAAGAAATTTAAAAAGAAAAAAGGATAGTTACCCTGAATTCTTGCTCACCTGGATTTTATTTTTTATTTTTCTAATTTATATCCAAATTATTTAACACATAGTATAATAATGATTTCAGAAGTAGAATTTAGTGATTCATCACTTACATATAACACTCAGTGCTCATCCCAACAAGTGCCCTCCTTAATGCCCATCACCCATTTAGCCCATCCCCCCACCCAACACCCCTCTAGCAACCCTCAGTTTGTTCTCTGCATTTAAGAGTCTCTTACGGTTTGTCTCTCCTTTTATCTTATTTTTCCTTCCTTTCTCCTATGTTCATCTGCTTTGTTTCTTAAACTCCACAAATGAGTGAGGTCATGATATTTGTCTTTTTTTAATGGACTTCTTTCGCACAGCATAATACATTCTAGTTCCATCCACATTGTTGCAAATGGCAAAATTTCATTCTATTTCATCACCGAGTAGTATTCCATTGTGTGTATATATATATATATATATATATATATATATATACACCACATCTTCTTTATCCATTCATCAGTTGATGGACATTTGGGCTCATTCCATACTTTATCTATTGTTAATAGCACCACCATAAACATTGGGTCAGCCGGATTTTAAATAAAGCAGAAAAGGGCAGAAGGCCTGGGAGTGAAATAAATTTGAGTTAGAAGTCCACAGCGATCCTTCAACAGCTACGGGTGGCCTTGGACAAGTTATTAACAACACTAAGCCTCAGTTTCCTCAACTGTAAAATGGGGATGATACCTACTTCACAGGTTGTTATAAGGGTTAATCAGATAGCATATATAAGCTCAACACTTGTTGAAGAATTAACAAATGCCAGTAGCCATTCCTTTTCCTTTTCTAGAAGCAGACGTGGGAGTCAAGAGTGCCATTTGGCGGGGTGCCTGAGTGGCTCAGTCAGTTGAGCATCTGACTTCAGCTCAGGTCATAATCTCACAGTTCACGGGTTTGAGACCTGCATCAAGCTCTGTGATGACAGCTCAGAGCCTGGAGCCTGCTTCAGATTCTGTTCCTCCTCTCTCTCTGCCCCTCCTCCACTCTTTCTCTGTCTCTCTCTCTCTCTCTCCCAAAAAAGAATAAACATTAAAAAAAAATTTTTAAGAGTGTTATTTGACCATTTATATATACAGAGAAGCAGCAAATCAGAGTGGTTAAGGGCACAGATGCTGAAACCATACTGCCTGGGTTCAAGTACTGGTTCTGCCGTGTGTGTGTGTGTGTGTGTGTGTGTGTGTGTGTGTAGGTGTACACAGATATTTATACGTATGTGTCTTCGATGAGTGTACATATACACATACACATATATGTTTATACACACCCATGTATTTATGGTGAGAGCTGGAATGGACCTACCTGTTGTTGAACAGATGGGGAAACCAAGTCCCAGAGAGAAGACAAGTCTTTTTTTTTTTTTAATTTTTTTTTAACATTTTATTTATTTTTGAGAGACAGAGACAGAGTACGAGTAGGGGAGGGGCAGAGAGAGAGGCAGACACAGAACCCAAAGCAGGCTCCAGGCTCTGAGCTGTCAGCACAGAGCCCAACGTGGGGCTCAAACCCACAAACAGTGAGATCATAACGTGAGCCGAAGTCAGACACTTAATCGACTGAGCCACTCAGGTGCCCCCCAGAGAGAAGACAAGTCTTAACCAAAGCCAGACACTGAGTCCAAAGTCTCAGTGGTGGGTCTGTAGATTCCCAGTCCCAAGCCCTGCCCTTAGTAAACCCTGCCTCCAATCCTTTCCCTGAGAATCTGGTTACGACTCTCTCCCATACATTTCCTCTTATACCAAATCCAGGTACACGTGTACTGCTCTATCCCAGGCGGCCGGGCCACCAGCCCCAGACCCGTTACCCACACCAAAAGGCTCCAGAGCACAATGCCCAATTCAGCAGTGTGACGGGGGGTGGGCGCGGCAGGTCAGTGTGCGGCCCCCCTGCCTCCTTACCACAGCAAAGGCCAACCGCATGGGCCTGGAGTTGTAGATGATGTATCGCCTCACTTGGGGCTCCAAGAGGGCGCTTTCAGCCAAGCTCCTGTACTGGTCGGCGGGGACCTGCTTGGCCATGCAAGGAAAAGAGACCAATCAGCCACGGGGAACCACTCCCACCTCCTTCCTGCATGCAAGCATGTCATTTCCAGTTCATGGGACTGTCACATGGGAGGGGGACAAGGCACCTTCCAGGCTGCCCCGGAAGGCAGACTGAGGAGCTCGGAGCACTAGGAGTGGTAATCACAGAATGCAGCTCAGGAAAGGATGAGTGCCCTGGGGAGGTGGGGTAACTCGAGACCCAGGAGGACGCCCTTGGTGGGGGCAGAGGGGGCGGGTGCGGATCTTGCAGCCCGAGGCACAGGACCTCACAGCAGACCCAAGAGAGCCTAACAGTTAAGGCACAGGCCCTAGAGTCAGTAGGCTGGGTCCAAACCTTGGCTCTTCCATTCGCGTGCCAAGTAACCCCACTTCTCTGAGCCTCAGGTTCCTCATTTATAAAGTGTGGACAACAAGAACACGCACTTGTAGGGGTGGTGTGCATACGAAATAACATGATGCATATGCAATACTAACGTGTGTGTTACAAAATAAGTATATGTGTACCATGTAGATACATACGGACATCTCTGGGGGGGGGCTCTGTTCTGCCTCCAGCGGTTATGTGTTACTTTGACAGATGTGTGTCATATCTAAGTGCACATGCACACTGGCCCAGTATGGTCCGGTCCGTATGGACACTCGATACATGTGAGCAGGTACCAACACGGCAACACCAATAACGATAAATACCGCCCAAGGCTCTGAAAACTCGCATCTCTCTGCCCAAACAAAAATGGCATAGCACGTAAAGGCCCTGCGAGAGTGGACTGCTCAAGAAAACAGAATCGAACCATTAAAGATGATGTCTGGGAACATGGCAGAATAATATGTGGACTGTTTTCCCTGGTTAAGAAAACCCCATCTGAAGACAACTGTTGAAGAAAAATGTTCTTTTGTACAAAGGCTGACAGGAAACATGGCGTGATAAACCAGCCATTGTGCTGACGTGGGGTGAGTACCGTCAATGTGGAAAGTTTCCCTTCAAGTGATAACATGCTGATTTAAACAATAATGCAATTCAGTCCGAAAGAAGTGAACTCTAAAATCTGCAGGGCAAAATGAGCAGTGTATCTTTCCTGTCCACGGTTAGTCCACATTATTTTCCTTACTCGTCACAAACACCCTGTCTGATAGGTATTAATGTGGCCCTCATTTTTAATAGAGGATGAAACGGCCACCCGGAGAGGTTAATTCACCTGCTGAAAGCCACCCAGACAGATCTGCATCCAGACCTCTGATCTGAGAAGCCTAGGCTTCAAATCGCTGTGCTTCAAAGCACTGCATGATTATCTAATAAATTCACGTACTCTTCCGTTGAATATACAGTTCCCTCTCCTAAAATGCCCTTCCTCCTGTCTACCCAGCAAGCCCCTATTTTTCCTTCAAGATCCCAGATCAAGCATCTGCTCCTGTGTGACGCTTTCGAAACCACCACTCCCCCAGGCGAGTTCATCGTTTTCTCCTGTGAAGGTCTTCGGTGCCTTGTACGTGCCTCTGCCGCGGCATTCGTACCCTGCTGACCTGACCCGATCTATCTGGCGCGAGTCCACCTCCTGTGCTGGGCCCCATGAGCTGTGTGAGCGCAGGCGCTGGGTATTGGCCACCTCTATGGACCCCAGTGCCCTGCGCAGTGCCTGGCAAACAACGAGCGCCCCAAAACACGCACCTGTTAAGTGAAGTAACTGGGAGGAGGAGACACTCCTAATACATCTTCCTTATACCTCCCACCATACGGAGCCCAGAGTACGTGTTTAACAAATGTTTTGTGGACAACTGGATGAAAGGATAGGTGGACGGGCCAGCAGGTAGGTGGCTGGAAGGGAAGGAGGGGGAAAATGGCAGCGTGTCAATAAAACCCGCACTCACCTGAATGCCCCAGGTCTGCAGTTGCTCTTCTGCGGCGCCCAGATCGAAGGCGATGGGCGCACAGGTGTTGTCGATCCGCAGAACCGTGAGGACCTGGCCATTGCGGAGCTCTGAAAGCACACCAGAAGCTTCACCTGGCTGAGCGAGCACCACTATGGACGAGCCCGGAGCCCGATGGCATCACCTCCTCTGGCCACGAGAACCATCTCATGGCAAGGAGGGACGTGGTGGCGGTCCTCGAATCCCCCCGCGAGAAGGACCGAACTTGACCAGAACCCCTGAGGAGGCAGAACTGAGACCAGAGCCTGGAGGCTACCCGGACACAACGCAAGACCCTATAAAGGAAGAACCTCCCAAGAATGAGAGCTGTCCAGACAAAGAATTGGGAGTAGTGAGCTCCCCGTCACAAAAGATTTTTTTTTTAATGTTTATTTATTTTGAGAGAGAGAGAGAGAAACAGCAAAGAATGAGCAAGGGAGGAGCTGAGAGAGAGGGAGAGAGAGAACCCTAAGCCGTCAGCGTGGGGCCCGACGCAGGGCTCCATCTCGCGAACTGTGAGATCGTGACCGGAGCCAAAATCAAGAGTCAGATGCTTAGCCAGATTAGCCACCCAGGAGCCCCAGAAAAGATATTTAAGCAGACTGTACAACTAAGTACATGGAGAAGGTGATGTTTCAGACATTTGTATGAACACCACCACACAGGAAGCTCACCCAAATATTACATTCCCAGCGGGCTCCGTCTGACTGTGGTAGGCAGAACAATGAACCCCAGACATGTCCCCGCCGTACTCCCCAGAACCCATGAATATGTTATGTTACACGGCGAAGGAGAATTAAGGTTACAGACGGAGTTAAAGTGGCTAATCCACAGGCCCGAAATAGGGGGGTTCTCCTGGGCTGTTGGGGTGGGCCCAATGTAATCACAAGCATCCTTAAAACTGGAAGAGAGAGGCGACTGAAGGGTCAGGAGGGATGTGACCAGGGAAGAAAGGGACAGAGATGGAACACTGTTGCCTTTGAGGTGGAGGAAGGTTCACGGGCCAAGCAGTATGTGTGGCTTCTGGAAGCTGGAATCAGATTCTCCCTGCGCTCCTGAAGGAAGGCGGCCCTGCTGACACGGGGGCTTTAGCTCCGGGAAGCCAGCGTCAGACTTCCAGCTTCCAGAACTGTCAGAGGACGGATCTTTCGCCAGCCACTGTGTGGGCGGTAATTGGTTAGGGCAGCCACAGAAAACGAAGACACTGACTTACTGGTAACCCCTCCCCAGGGTATCTGCAACTCACTTGACAATTCAAAAGCACCAACTGAATTAAGCGTAACCTCACAAAACACCACACATCAACTCAGTCTGGCCACAAGCCAGGCAGGACGTCGACTAGGCCAGCCCAGTGAGGTCTGCTGGGGTGAAAGCCCCTGGGGACTGAAACCCCTCAGGCCCAGGGAGGAACAGCCAAGGAATGAAGCTAAATCTACCTTCTGCTGCTAGTAGAGAGAATCTGGACAGAAGGATCCAGATGTCCTTCCACCACAGCAGGAGGTCCCGTGAGCCACCCTGTCAGCAGCCACGCAGCTGGGGTGGGCAGGAGAGGGGGGATCCCCAGTGTTCAGCCATGCGAGGCTGGGCCTGGATATGCTGGCACATTTTCTGTAGGCGAGGCTTAGAAAATGGGGCAGCATGAAGAGATCAAACCATAAATACATTATCTGCTGGCCCAAACTTCCTGTCACCTGAGCCTAGCTCTGGGCAATATGTCTTTTTTTTTTTTTTTTTTTTTTTTTTTTTTTTTTTTTTTATGTTTATTTATTTTTGAAGGAGAGAGAGACAGAGCATGAGAGGGTGAGGGGCAGAGAGAGAGGGAGACACAGAAACTGAAGCAGGCCCCAGGCTCTGAGCTGTCAGCACAGAGCCCGGCACGGGGCTTGAACTCACGAACTGTGAGATCATGACCTGAGCCGAAGTCGGACGCTTAACTGACTGAGACACCCAGGCGCCCCTGAGTCTTTAAAACCAAATGACTAGCCCTACCTTCCTGACAATTCCTGCCCCACCCCCACCATTGTCTCCACCTCCTCACTCAGCCCCTCTCTGGGCCCTGCCAGCTGGGCCAACAAAATGTCTCTCAACTCCACGCACCTCCTGGCATCTCCACCACAACCCAGGCCAGGCTACCTTCACCTCTTCCTCATGCCCTTTGGCAGCCTCCTCACTGGTTTCTCCAAACCTACCCGCTTACAATGCATTCTCCACGCATCAGCCAGTGCGTGAACTGGATGCTATCAGTCCTCTGAGTAAAACTTTCAATAGCTTTTTGGTGTTCTACTGACAAAAACCAACCTCCTTACCACACTCGCCCAGACCTCTGAAGAACCAGCCTCCTGCCAAACTCACCTCGAGCCATTCAGCTTCCTTCTGTGGAAGGCCAGCATCCTTCATTCTTGGAACAAGCAGTGTTCACTCCCACCCCAGGGCCTTTGCAAATGCTGTTCCCTTTCCCTAGAACACTTCCACTGGGCTTCACCCAGTGAAATCCTATTCATCATTGATATTCCAGCTCATTAACCACCTCTCAAGGGAGTCTTCCCTGACACTACACCCCTAACAGATCAAATCCTTCTGCTAAACCTACTCAGAACTGCTCTTCAAAGGAGTACATATTCAAAGATAAGTACATACGCTTGCAATTATTTGCTTACATAGGTTTTCAACTAATTGATTAAAGTCTATCCCCCAATGTGGGAGACTATGTACTCCCACACTGGTTCTGCTCAACACTGAATCCCCGGAGCTGGGTTCATACCTGCCATACAGTAGGCACTAAATAAATGTTTGATGTATAAATGAATTGACACGACAGAACCCTGGCCCCTAACCCCCAATTAGAGTTCTTTTTTTATGTCTTTTTTTTTTTATCATCTGTCATCTCAAGGGTAAAAGAGCATTGGATGCCCTGCCAAAAAGAACTTTATTTGCTTTCTTTTCTTTTTTTTTCTCTCTTTTTTAAGTTTTTGCAAGAAGGAAGGGGTGTGGATGCAAGGTGGGGAGCCAAGGAAAGTATAAGCTAGACAGCTAGCTACAGGAGTCAAAGTGTAGCCCAGCCTCTTGCTCACAGAGTAGCCACAAAAAAGTGATCTAGGGACACCTGGGTGGCTCAGTCGGTTGAGCGTCTGACTTCGGCTCAGGTCACAATCTCGCGGTCTGTGAGTTTGAGCCCCGTGTCGGGCTCTGTGCTGACAGCTCAGAGCCTGGAGCCTGCTTTGGATTCTGTGTCTCCCTCTCTCTCTGCCCTTCCCTGCTCATGCTCTGTCTCTCTCTGTCAGAAACATTAAAACATTAAAAACAAAAATAAACATTAAACATTAAAAAAACATTTAAAAAAAGAAAAAGTGATCTAAATCCCTGGCCTGCTTCCTCGCTTGGAGGGGGATCATATCACCACACGCAGCTTTGCAGAGATGATGAAAATAAATGCTCGGAGAAACACAGGGGTTGAATAACTGGCCGCTGTCGTTGCCAATTTAAAAGCAAGCTTGTTGGGACTCAAAAGTTACAGTAAAGCAACCCATGCATGGATTTAGTTGTATTCGTTCTTACCCTCCCACTCCTGGATTTAAGGTGGCTTTATAAAAATAAAATATGAAAACGGGCACCTGGTTGGCTCAGTTGGTTAAGCGTCCAACTTTGGCTCAGGTCATGATCTCGCGGTTTGTGAGTTCAAGTCCTGCATTGGGTTCTGTGCTGACAGCTCAGAGCCTGGAGCCTGC